TTGTCCAAATTTGCAGCCCCACCAACAGTGCATAAGCATTCCTTTCTCTCTGTATCTATGCCAGCATCTATTGCTTTTGGACTTTCTAATAAAAGCCATTTTTTTTTTATTTCAGCATATTATGGGGTACAGATATTTAGGTTACGTGTGTTGCCCTTGGTTCCCCCCCCCAAGTCCGTGTTTCAAATATGTCCATCCTTCGGGTACTGCGCATTGCACTCCTTGTGTATACAAATACCGGTCCCCTCCTCCCTCCTCCCCCCTCCTCCCATCGCCCTCCCCCTTCCCCAGCATCCAATAGATGTTGTTCTGATATGTGCATTTATGTGTTGATTAGTTAATACCAATTTGATGGTGAGTACAAATGGATCCCATTCTTCTGCTCTTGTGGTGCCCCACTTTGGATAATGGGCTCAAGTTTAATCCAGGAAAGTGTAAGTGGTGCTAGATCACTGTCATTTCTTATGATTCAGTAGTATTCCATTGTAAACATATACCAAATTTTGATAATCCACTCATGGATTGACGGGCACTTGGGTTGTTTCCACATTCTTGCAATAGTGAATTGTGCTGCCATAAACATTCGGGTGCAGATGTCCTTATCGTAGAATGTTTTGTGCTCTTTTGGGTAGATGCCTAATAGTGCTATTGCTGGATCGAATGGTATTTCTATTTTTAGCTCTCTGAGGTATCTCCTCTTTTCCACAGAGGTTGCACTAATTTGCAGTCCCACCAGCAGTGTAGAAGTGTTCCTGTCTCTCCGCATCCTCGCCAACATTTGTTGTTTTGTGTTTTTTTGATAGAGGCCAATCTCACCGGGGTTAGTTGATACCTCATTGTGGTTTTGATTTGCATTTCTCTAATGATTAGAGATGTTGAGCATTTTTTTATGTGTTTGCTGGCCATTATTCTGTCTTCTTTTGAAAAGTTTCTGTTCATTTCTCTTGCCCATTTGTTGATGGGGTTATTTGATTTTTTCTTGTTGATTTTTTTGAGTTCTAGATAGATTCTGGTTATCAGCCCTTTATCAGATGTGTAGAGAGCAAATATTTTTTCCCATTCTGTGGGCTGTCTATTCACTCTAATGATAGTTTCCTTGGCAGTGCAGAAGCTTTTTAATTTGATTAGAGCCATTTTGACTTGGGTAAGGTGATATCTCATTGTGATTTTGATTTGCATTTCCCTGATGATTAGTGACACTGAGCATTTTTTCATATGTTTATTGACCATTTATGTCTATGTTCTTTTGAGAAGCTCCTGTTCTGTCTTGGTCTTTGTACTTATGCGTAAACATACTAACACATTCTCTCAATTCCTAAAATGTATAACTTAGGACTATGTTTCTAATTCTCTTCTTTAAAATTAAATATGTTCCATCTTTATCCACAAAAAAGTCTGAATTTTCTCATATTGTTTTAAGATTTTCTTAGCAAAATTACCAGCCCAAGACCAAATTTTACTCCTTGCATGAATTAGTATAAGCAGTTTATTAGCTCTTTTTTGTTATAATACCCACTTTTCCAACTCCAATTACCCAAAGCAAAAACACTAGAATTATCAAGCACTGAATACAGGGATACCACTGAGATATTAAGGGTTTGGATCTAGACTACCACAATAAAGCAAATATTACAACAAAGCAAGTCACACAAATAATTTGGTTTTATAGGCATATAAAAATTAAGTTTACACTATATTAAGTGTGTCTATTAAGTGTGTAATACTATTATGTCTAAAAAAATCTGCTTACCTTAAAAAATACTTTATTACTAAAAATACTAAAAATCACCTGAGCCTTCAGTGAGTTGTAATCTTTTTGCTGGTGTAAGGTCGTGCCTCGATATTGATAGCTGCTGACTAATATGGGTGGTTGTTCTTAAGGCTGGGGTAGCTATGACAATTTCTTAAAATAGGAAGACAGTGAAGCTTGCCACAGTGATTGGCTCTTCCCTTCATAGAAGATTTCACTGTAGTATGCGATGCTGTTTGATAGTATTTTACCCACAGTAGAACTTCTTTTTAAGTTGGAGTCAATCCTCTCAAACCCCTCCACTGCTTTATCAACTAAATTTAAGTAATATTCTAAATATTGTGTTGTCATCTCAACAATGTTCACCAGGAGGAGATTCCATCCTAAAAAATCATTTTCTTTGCTCATCCATTAGAAGCAACTCATCATTCGTTCAAGTTTTACCATGAGATATCAGCAATTCAGCCATGCGTTTAGGCTCCAATTCTAATTCTAGTTCTCTTGCTATTTATAGCACATTTACAGTTACTTCCTCTAATGAATTCCTGCACCTTCTAAGTCATCTGTGAGGATTGAAATCAATTTCTTCCAAACTCCTATTTTTGTTGTTATTTTAACTTGCTCTTACAATCATGAATGTTTTTAATGGCATCTAGGCTGGTGAATCCTTTCCAGTGGTTTTCAATGTACATTGCCCAGATCCATCGGAGAAATTACTATCTATGGCAGCTATAGCCTTATGAAACATATTTTTTAAATAATAATAAGACTTGAAAATCATAATTGCTCCTTGACTCATGGGCTGTGGAATGGTTGTTGTATTAACAGGCATGAAAACAACATTCTTGCACATTTCCATCAGAGCTCTTGGGTGACCAGTTGCATTGTCAATGAGCCGTAATATTTTTAAAGGAATCTTTTTTTCTGAATAGTAGTTCTCAACAGTGGGCTTAAAATATTCAGAAACTCATGCTGTAAATGAATGTTCTATCATGCAGGCTTTGTTGTTTCATTTATAGGGCACAGGCAGAGTAGTTTAGCAACATTCTTAAGGGCCCTCAGATTTTTGGAATGGCAAATAGGCATTGGTTTAATTTAAATTCACTAGCTACACTAGCACCTAAACAGAGAGTCAGCCTACCCTTTGAAGCTTTGAAGCCAGGCATTGACTTCTCTCTAGCTATGGAAGTCCTAGATGGCATCTTATTCCAATATAGAGCTATTTTCTCTACACTGAAAACCTGTTGTTTTCTCTGCACTGAAAACCTGTTGCCTTCATAAATTATCTTAGATCATCTGGAAAATTTGGTGCATTTTCTCCATCAGCACTTGCTATTTCACATTGTACTTCTATGTTATGAAGACGACTTCTTTCCTTAAAAGGAATGAACAAACATCTGTTGTCTTCAAATTTCTATTCTGTAGCTTCCTCTCCTCTCTCAGCCTTTATACAATTGAAGAGCATTAGGGCCTTTCTCTGAATTAGGCTTTAGCTTAAGGGAATGCTGTGAATGCTTTGATCTTCTATCCAGACTATTTAAACTTTCTTTATATCAGCAATAAGGCTGTTTCTCTTTTAGGTTCCTTCAAGAACTAGCCTTTGCATTTGCAACTTGGCTAACTGTTTGGCACAAGAGGCCTAGCTTTTGGTCTGTTTGGCTTTAGAAATGCCTTCCTCTCTGAGCGTAATCATTTTTAGATTTCTATTTAAAGTGAGATGCTTGTGACTCTTCCTTTCACTGAACACTGAAAGGGCATTACAAGTTTATTAATTGGCCAAATTTCAGTATTGTTGTGTCTCAGGGAATAGAGAGGCCACATGAGAGGGAGCGAGATGGAGGAATATTTGATTGGTGGAGTAGTCAGAGCACATACAACGTTTATCGATTAAGTTTGCTGTCTAATGTGGGCACAGTTTGTGGTATCCCCAAAGCAATTACAATACTAACATCAAAGATCTTTGATCACAGACCACCATGACGGATATAATAAAATGAAAAAGTTTGAAATATTCCAAGAATTATTAGAATGTGACACAGAGACACAAAGTGAGAACATGCTGTTGGAAAAAAGGCACCAATAGGCTTGCTTGACATAGGTTGGCCATAAATCTTTGATTTATAAAAAAGTATACCTGCAAAGCCCAATAACGCAAAGCACAATAAAATGAGATATGCCTGTACATATTTAGCATTTAGCATTTGTTGATACTGTAATCCTTTTATTTGACTGTTTTTAAAAATCTGTTCTGTGTTATTGTGCCAAATCCAAATCTATTAACTTAATCATAATGAAGCCTTCCCAGACTATCATAGTCCATGTGGTCCTACCTGGCTAAATGGCCAGAGGTTTCTTAATGTTATGTTTTGTTTGTTTTCTTTGTTTCTAATAACTCCTAGCACTTAGGCTTTTGGTGTATCTTATCTCTGCTAATCTAGAAACTAAGTTCACAACAGGTACACATCGAGGAGATAACATAAGCAAGAAATAAAACTTTATTGGTTTGGATTGATAATATTTGATCATTATTTTTTATCACAGCATATCTAGCCTCTTCTGAATTATATATATACCACTCAATCATTTAAACTGTGTAATCAATGTAAAAACGGGAAATGTTTCCCTGTTACATACTAACCCTTCTTTTCCTTTTGGTACTCTATATATTGTTCTGCATAATTGTGCATCATTCACTTAATTAATGCTTCAATGAATTTTTATTATATGTCTACTTGGCCTGGTATTATACTACTCACCAACAAAGTCATATTAACTGAAAATTGTTTGATCAATATTTAAACCGTGCTCATGGTTGTGGGAAATAATTAACTAAATTTCAAATAAATTTAGGAATTTGCTTGTTTGCTCAAAATTTATGTTAAAAGATTTATCTTTGTATGCCTGCTTTATATTAATTTTGAGAATGCTCTTGGATCATATTTGCACTCCGCTTTCTAGTTCCAGAAAGACCAATAATAAACAAGAAGTTTAACATTTTTCCTTCCAAATACTGGACACAAGAAGACTACACAAACTTTTATAGGAAATGAAGAAAAAAATTTATTTTAAGCTACTCACGTTTTTGTTATACATGTTTTTAAAAATCTAAACATCAATGAGCTGTTCTACTTTAATAATAGTTTAATAACAAGTTAATACAATGGAAGTAGCAAATAATGAAAAATCATCAATTGTTTTCCAACTAAATTTAATCATGCTGCTATTAATATTATGCTAATCTCTGGAGTAAATGAATATTAACATGAAAACCAAGAAATATTTGGCTAAATCTGAAAATCTTTCTTAAAATAACAATATTTGTTAGAGATTATAAAGGTCAGTAGGAATGACAACACTAAATAAATATTTTAAAATGATGCCCTGTCCTGAATTTTGCCCTACTGCAATAAATGGTAATAGAAGTACCCCCATAATATTCTGAAATAAAAAATAAAATAAAATAAATATA